TGCATGCACCCCCATGTTCATAGAAGCACTAGGTACAATATGCAAGACGTGGAAGCAACCTAAATGTCCACGGGCAGATGAATGGATAAAGAAGATACACACACATACATACATACAAAGACTATTACTCAGCCATAAAAAAGAATGAAATAATGCCATTTGCAGCAACATGGATGGACCTAGATATTCTCATACCAAGTGAAGTAAGTCAGGCAGAGAAAGACAAACGTATGATATGACTTATGTGTGGATTGTAAAAAATGATACAAATTAACTTTTTTACAAAACAGTAAGAGACTCACATTCATAGAAAAGAAACTTACGGTTACCAAAGGGGATAGCAGTGGGGGATGGGGGGCCAGAGAAAGATAAATTAGGAGTTTTGGATTAACATATACATACTACATTGTATAAAATAAACAACAAGAACCTACTGTATAGCACAGGGAACTATATTCAATATCCTGTAATAACAAATAATGGAAAAGATTCTGGAGGAGATATGCTTTCCATTATAGGCTATTACAAGGTATTGAATATATATATGTGTGTGTGTGTGTGTGTGTCTATACATATCTGAATCACTTTGCTCTACACCTGAAACTAACACAACATCGTAAATTAACTATACTTCAATTAAAAAATTTAAAAAGGAAGAACTCATCTGTCTCACCAGGTTTTGAATCTGAACTCTTCCTTTAAACCCTGGGGTAAAATCATGTGCAAAACAATGGGCAGTCAATCTGAGAGGACAGGTTGAAGAACCCAAGATAAAGAAAGCTTTCTATTAAACAGATGAAACTACATACTTCTTAGCCTAATCCCCTTCATTTAACCAACCTTCTAATGTAACATGCTATATATGGTAGTTATGGTATTCATCTGGAAGGAAGTAACAATGTTATATCACAGGAGGAAAAGGAAGCTAAGAAAGAATATTTCTAGCAAATACATCCAGAAAATAATTTCAGAAAAAAGTTACCATTTTCATCCTGAAGGAGTTCTGAAAAGTAAATAAAAAAGAATACTCAAGTAAATGGCAAGGAAAACCAACACAGAAAATAAAAATAAGGAGAAAATTTCCAAGCATGGAATTCCTAATTCAAAATACAGACCAAAATACA